AACAATTCCTAAATCAATGGCTACCTACTTGATGCTGGTTAGGAATCTTTGAGGAGCATCAGGTCTCCGCGATACTGCGTGGAAGCGTAACCCATTAAAGGACGAATTCACGATGAAAAAGCAACCCATTTCAAATTAACCTAGGGATGGTGAGTGGTACACGAAAGAAGGAAGAACCATGAGAAACGGCCCAGAACCCGAGAAATGGGACCCCTTCCTTGCCCGTTGATTTGAGCATTGATGCGACTCTCATCGCTGTGCCCTCTTCAACACTACGCTCTCTCAGCTATCTAATCACTCGCCACGTATTGAACTACGGCGAGTGATCAGATGATCGGTGGGCGGAGATCGCCGGACCCGCCAGCTTTGAGGCATGATAGGTCGCCGAGGTCAAATTTTTCCATGCGAATTGCGCGTCAGTTCGCACCCTCAGGAGGTCCGTGGGTCCCTCAACTAGGTCAGTTTCCCTTTCTTCGACCTTCATTCTAATCGTGAATTCCTCCTTTAAGCCTTTTGAGTAGATGCGATGAGGACAAAGTTATTACGATTCAAACCAGAACCACTGAAGGATGACATCGTGACTAGCCAGCCTTCAAAGGTGCGCCATGCATTCGGCTTTCACTGTGGTCATGAAGCGGTAGAACACGGCCTTGGCCCATGGAATTCGAGCTGATGTTCAAAGCAGTTTTCTTATCTGCCCAGAACAGTCTAGAGCGATCAAACGAAAAGACAGTACGGTTTGGCGGTGGTTTAATGAGAAAAGAAATTTCAGTCCAATTCCTTTACAGACGTTCTTTCGCAATCATCCGTTTCTAGAGAACGCGCTCTGGCGAAATTCTCTCTCTAGGTGGATCGGGAAGTCATTGCGCTGCTTTGTGGTTTTCATTTTTCCTTATCAGTTTCCTCATGTAACATTAGAACAAGCGTTTAACTAACTGACGCATTCATGAAACACATAATGGTAATCTGAATGGTGACGGGAGAAATGCAATAATGCCATGGATTGCAGGTACTGGATTGGGAACCAAACACCTTGACTACCTGGATAGCCGGAGCTGGTCAACGAGTGATGGATAACTTGAGTGACGAGGAGATCATTGCCAGAACTACAAAGCTCATTCGTGATTTGAAGAATGACCCCTCTATAGAAGCACCAAAGGAAATTATAAGGTGAGTCGGAACTGCTAGTTGCCAGTAACCATAAGAAGTTTGTTCGAGAACGAGAACCTCGATTTAATGCTGCTTGAATTTTATCGATTTTTCAAAAACGATAGCTGATTACTTTATGGATGTGGACTTCGTGAAAAGTAACACCAGTGAGAACTCTAGCTGATGTCCTGGTTTCATTTTATAACAGCCCCATTCTATAATCTAACGTCCCTACCGATTCATTGAAGGCAATGGCCGGGATTTCTGGCCGACCAAGGCCCCTTGGCCCGGCATAACAACATTTTGCCTCACCACAAATCAGTGCTATTTCGCTTTGCTGCTAAAAAAGAGGGTTTTAATTTCGGCCTTGTCGACGGTTTCTTTCCGTGGTTCCACCTTGACTTTAGCCCCGCTTCTTTCTTGATGCGCCTTTCACCTTGAAGATCGAAGGTATCTGCGCAGAGGTAGATCCGCGCTAATACGTCCGTGTGTATGATTATGATATTTTGCCGAGCACTGAGAATAGAACCCAACGGTTGGAGGCACTATTGAAATGAAGCTTCTTTCAATGTAAGATAGCCACCAAATGCTTGCAGCCCACTTTCTTAGAAGTCTAGCGGCGGAGGATGATTGATTACTCGCAAGAATCATCGCGCATACAAGCAGCATCTGGCGTATGAAAGTGACAGAAGCGTCACGCGGTTGGCAGAAAAGGATGTCGCTTATGATTAGAAAGATACCCGACAGGCAAACCAGAGCGATCGATGTTTTTTTTCTTTTTCCCTACTTACTGGTTGTAATGACATGCAGAAAATATATATTAACGAATAATTGCCTCTCAGATAGAGAACATCGCCGTTGAATCCAATCATTCATGAGGATGGACAACTGCTAACAAGGAAAGGCTTCCAGGTCGACATGGCCATTCAAGAAGTAATGTATACGCTAGATGTGCCTTTGAACGCTGATCTCAAATCTACCTTCCAAATCTGCTAAACAATTCTCTGAATGGAGTTATGAAGCAAAACAGCGCAACGGCAGTGGTCGGGATTTGCAGTCAAAACGTCGTAGGATCGGCCCCTGATCGCGTTTACTGTCTTGCGTTCTTCAAAAAATAGGCTAAATAAGCTATTAAAAGCCTTTTAGATGCACCTGCAAGAAGAAAAAGGCAAAATAGTAGACGCGATCAAGGGCCGATCCTACGAACGTTTCGACTGCAAATCCCGATCACTACCGTTGCGACTGTTTTGCTTCATAACTCCCTTCAGAGAATCGTTTAGCAGATTTTGGAAGGTAGATTTGAGATCAGCGTTCAAAGGCACATCTAGTGGTATACATCTTCCTTCTTGAATGGCCATGGCGACCTGGGAGCCTTTCACTTGTAAGAGACACAAAGCTCACGCAGCACGTGTCCATAAACTACTATCAGCACGAGTTTTGTCCTTATTCCTCCGGCTCAGTCATCCCTTGTGTTAGGGAGACTGTACGTAATAAATATTCCAAACCAAGGAAAATAAGGTTTTCCAAAAAAAATTCTGATATCGTCTGGAATTGTACTACTTCTCGATAACTTTTCAATTGACTTCGCGCTTTTTAAAACGCAGTGCTTACTCCACCGAAAACGACCTCTTTTCGAAGAACCACTAAGAACCCCCCTCTAAGAAAATCCGAACTTTGACGAACGGATGGTTTAACCCGCTCCCAGATCCGCCTTTCCCTTTGCTTCGTTGTATCTGCCAGGGGTAGGTCCGTTGCGAATTCGCGGATTATTTTGATATTTTGCCGAGCATTGAGATTAGAACCCAACACGTTGCAGGCATTACTGAACTGAAGTTTTCTTAATGTAGAAATGGCTAACAAATGCCTGCAACTCACTTTCCTAGATCTCTAGCAGCGGAGCATGATTGATTACTCGCAAGAATCACCGCGCATATAAGCACATCAGGGGTGATGAAGTGACAGAAAGGCGTCACCGGGCAGAAAGGATATCGCTTATGATCACAGCAAATGAACCGAATGCGTGGCGCTTCCGCAAAAGAGCGATCAATGTTCATTACCTTGTGAATGCATGCAGAATACATTAGCGAATGCTTCCGGTTCATTAGGAGAACTCCCTTGATAAAATCATCATGAGGGATGAGCACTGCAGAGCAGATTGCTGTCATACAATTCTCCAGAATGCTTGATGATCAAAAGCTCACGATTGGCTTCCACCTAACTTCTCGAAAATCGGCCATGCCAGACAGCACACAATGTCATAACTCCAGTATTAGTGAATCGTTTTCCAGAACGCGTTTGACAAAGAATGAGCTACTACTGGGATCGTATTCGTACATGAGCCAGGCTCAAGCTCGAGCCCGAATTTCGCACTCTCGCCTCGCGATTCCTGTGAAACACAACAAACACCCAAGAGTTTTATTTGCAGGAGAAGCAACCCATCACAGGTAAGCTGAACTTACTTATAAGGGCATTCAAAAAGCACAGAGTAGCCACGTCGAAACTTTCAAGCTTTTGACGTGCGAAACATTATTAAAAGATAAGCCTAGGAAAACATGATTCTCACAACCCTATGAGGACTGAGCCCAATAAACAGCGTTGCAAGGAAACTGAATAATTTTTTTCTAGATTGTTCCAAACAGCCATCGGCGCTTACCTCAGCGGACGCCGTGAAGCTGATCGCCTGAATTCTGACTGGGAATCAACTGTAAGCTCCCTATTTGGAAGGACTGGCTTCCCTAACTATGACGAAAATTACACTCTGAGTGTGAATAAGGTTCTCCACCGTCAGTCAATAGATTTTATATGCAGTCAAGCTAAACGAACCACTGCTGATGGGACAGGCTATCCATAGCTTGTTTTGCTGTCAATTGAACCATTGTTATGAAAATGATTAACTGAATAAATGTGCCATATTCATGTGAAAATCGGTCTTCTGCTACCAAGACGTGCCAATGTCCCCGTTTTTTTGTACAAATCGCCTCTGAGGAAACCAGTGCACTCAAACATTTGACTGCTTCTTTTTGGATTTTTCTCTTCTTTAAATTTGGATTCACCAATTGCACATTCCAAAGTTTGAAGGATTGCGCTCAGACTTACTGTTATAGCACAAGTTATAGAATGCGTATTCTGCGATCGAGCAGACGTGCGCCTTGTGAAATCTCATTAGTTATCTTTGCTCTTGATTTGTT